CCTGAAGCAGGGGAGCAACGTTCCTCCGTCGCTTGCATCTCAATATGGCGGCCCCGAATCGAGCAAATCGAGCCCAATAAGGCTTAACCAGGACGCTACGTCTCTTGTACGGGACGAGAGCAGCAGCAAATAAAAGCGTCACACGAGCTTTCCGCAAACTGTGTTTATTTCCGAAGCCAGATTCCCCCCACAGGTACAGAAACTGGCGTTTCGAAAGCAGTTACTCAGTCTTCTCGTCGACAGCACTGCGATGTTAAACGGAGACAACCGATACCCAGTTACTTCGCGCACTTTGAGTCTTACCTTTGGTGTTCCTCGAGACACAATTCCTTCGTCAACCGCACATCACAGAGAAGGGCAAACTCAATCCGCGAAACCAAAAGCCGCTCTCGAAAGAACAAACTCGAAGCCGCTGTTTATCGCGTAGCGTGAAAGGTTAAATCGCTAGCCACCAGATGGCGGGGTCAAGCAGAGTAATTGCAAGCAGCTAAACTAGGTGGCGCTTGGTACCGCCCAATTCATGTTCTACAAAAAATAATTTATTCTTTTCAGGCCACTACTGCGCTTCAGAGCCGCTCTCCTGCGCTTGGGGATCCTCTACTATACACACACATTACACTTAATACAAGCATTAGGTGAACATACATTGAGCACATACACGGCACACACACAAATATCAATACAATGGAACACCACACTAACCCGAACACTGCACCCGTGCTCTGCGTTTCCGTCTTTTATACTGGTCGTTTTGAACGTACGGAACTTTTCGGTGACTCCCTAAGCAATAAAACCTATTCCCAGCATGTTGAATTTTTCCCAGCAATGTCATACCTCTGAGGGTATTTTGAATGGCTCAGGGGATTAATCTCTTATTAAAAAGTAAACGCTCGATCAAGCCGTAATTATTTGAAAGCCAATAAATCAAGCCGCCCTAATGCGGTTCGAAGCCATGAGTTTGTTTCCCCACACGGCACGTCGTAGCCTGTATTTCTATTGGTTTTTCTATTTGTGCTGTTCGCGCAAAGCTGCAATTGCCGTCTTGAATTAATCTCTGTAGAGCGGATATTCACTCAGCTGGAAGTGATGCTTCACATGCTGAGAAATCGCTTTTCGATCAACTTGAATGCAGTCAAAGCCGCGACTTGCGGCAGGTGTTCAGTGTACGGAGCTACGCCGTGGCGAGCCCAAAAACGTCCAGAGCTCATCCCAGCGCGCCACTTGGAAGGCAGTTTCTCCAGGAACCGTAGCATATTTAAACAGCAAAATAAAGGGCAGCTTTTTTTTTTTTAATAATTTTACCTTCTATTGTTTTTTAATGCCGAAATTCCATACTGTAAATATACGTACTTTCCGTCACGATTTCGTACTGTTCAGTCCTTGCTTCAGAGCGCAATCGCTCTCGGGGACGAGACAATTCCGACAGTCATATTGGCCATTGTACGATAGCGCTAGGAGCTTCTACTGTTCAGACCAGCGTTCCAACATAACTATCCGCACGTTGATCGATTGCACGTAACCCCTCAAGTGGTATTAAACGTTTTAATGTAAACCGGAATGTCAACCTGCGACACCCCGCCTCCTCATCACGGCCCGACCAACGGCATCAATGCCCGACAGTTTACGATCTCATCTTGTTGTTACACCACTGACACGCAAACACACGGTTACATCGGCGATATATCCAGTCTTCTGTTCACAACCCACAACACTGCCATCACGATGTTGCAGCTATGTTGCTGACACGCACAAATACAGAACCACGTTGAACGCCGGTTGCACTCGGCATCGGAAAACAGAACCGAACTCAGCGCGGAAGGCACCCAGGCAGCCGGCAGCAAAACCTGCCTGTCTTGGACGCAGTTCCTGCGGTTTCCATAACGTCGAAAACGTCGACACAGTTCCGCGTGGTTTCGCTACTGTAGCGACTGTAGCACTGTAGTCACTGTAGTTCCGTCGGTTCGCCGCGCGCGCGAGTCCCGCAATCTGGAGACGGCCATCCCCCAGTGTACGTGGCACTGCTGGCACTGCTCCGCAACTTCGCTGTTTCTAGCGGCTTCGTTTGCTCGTTTGATAAAATTAGTGATAAAAGCGTCAATGCAACCGAAATGTTCTGCACATTTAGACTAGAAGACGGAATTACAGGCGGCCTTCACTGCCACTGAAGCTCAATCAACTCAACAGCTATTTATTAAACAACGTGCGCGACCTGCTCGAAAAACGAAACCGAAAGAAGATGAGTCGGGAGGGCGAAAGCTTTCTCCCGTCTGCCTGGAGAAGGAGAAAAACGTTTCGTTCCTCCCCTTTTCTCGTGTCCGGTTGGGGGCGCGTCAGTAGAAGGGAGGAAGACGCGCCGTTGCTACTTTTTTCCTCCATTTTTTCTTAGAGTGTAGTGCGCTGTAGTGTGTGTTAATCTGAGTAAGGGTTTTCACCTATCTGCCCAAGCCCCGCACACCACCACATGGGCCCCTTCCAGTACGTGCAAATAAAATTATTATTATTATGGTTATTATTAATATTACTATTATTATAACAATCCTGTTTTCGGCTCACAAGTAGTTTGTGTCAAAACAAAATAATATTTCTTTTTAGGTCGCGTTATTTCGCGATTTTCATGTATCTGCATAAAACCAAACACAGTACTATACACGCTCGACGTTGTAGATTCGGCATTCCTAACTCTTCCCATCTTTCTAAACGTTCGTGTGTGTCCTAACATCAGAAACCGGCATTTTAAAGGTTAAAAACGGCACGTTGCGAATATGGCACGCACACTTTCACGTAAAGCTGACGTCAAGTGACTCGAATCGGGAAAAATGCATATTTACAATGTTGTTACCTCTTCTGGTGAAGGGTCAGCAACCGTTGCATTCGTTTTCACGCACGAAACAGTGACTCCCGGAAAAATTAAAAACGGAGCGTTATTGCATTTGCATTTACACCACACACACTTGCAGACTTGCGCTGGTGCGCTACGCGCTACGCGTTTACTGCGCTACGCCACAGTAAACACCAAAAGCGACACCGACACAACGATCTTGTAGAATCTCACCTTATTATTAATAATAACTGTGTCAATAGGCGCTACATGTTGTATTTAAGTTAAAACAAAAACAAAGCCTCTTTTTTTGTTAAAAAACTAAATATCAACGTTAAGTCTGTAGCAGTGTATTTTTCGCTGTATCTTTGCCGAATCTTCAGAAAAGTTGGGCAAAAGTTCGACTCCGCCGAATTTTCGATTCGGCAAAAGTTCAGCCCATCAAAATGTGCGACCCGGGGGGGGGGGGGGGGGGGGGGTCAGGTACGCCTATAGGCTTTGCCCCCCCCCCACTCAAAAACAAGTTGGTACGCCACTGGCGGACACATCCGTGCTTGTTTATTTTTGTACTCGAGCCTTCCTCTTAACGTTTCGAGTTACGTGTACGAGCCAGTGTCGGGAACCTCAACGCTGCGAAGCTAGGGGGTCTTGCCTGTGTACGAGTCAACACGCTGTAACAACAAATAAGTTCAAGTACTCCGAGCTCGCAACTTTTCATTAGTGTTCCTGGTCAGCAAGTTTGTTACTGGTTTTATGCGTTCATGACGAAATTACCTTTCTTTCAATTACTGTTCTTCTTAGTACGCTCGAGTACGCTAGGTAAAACTGGGAGACGCCGTTAAAAAGTTAAAATCTAACACTTATTACCCTTTATAGCTGTACTGACCCATAGCACTGCACGAAGTGAAGACCTTACACGGTTCGGCTAATTCAACATCGCATGAAGTTATCCTGCAATCATATAGGCACATTCATACATACAAACAGTTTTGAAGAAAGCAATAGTCAAGCAATTGCGTGAATAATATCGCACAGTTCGGCGAACTCGTGAACCCCTATGCGGTGCGCCAAATGAACTAAAGAATTCCAAGCGCATTTGGCGGGTGCTAAGGGTCAAAGGTTTCTCATATGTTTGTTTTCTTCCTGACTGAATACGCCGAGATAATTTCAGAACCACCGTTCAGACACAGATCTTGGGCATCGGTAAAGTCTCGTCCAGAAAGGCTTCTCGTGGAGTAGGGGACGCTTGTTAGGGACTCCATCGGAGCTAGCCGATCTCGGCGTTTGCGAAAACTTAATCTCCAATCGGCATAAAATTTTAGTGGGTGATATATGATGACACGAGGATGGCTTCATAGTAACTTTTGTGCAGTAGTGAGTGCGAATTTATTGCGTTTCCTTAAAAGTTCATGCGCCAACGTTGGGCTCAACTGTGAGTATCCTGTGAGTATGCGGCTTGTTTATTTCTCAATGAAGAAACACGAAGGTGCTGTCTGGCAAACTAAATACGTGTAGGGCTCAAAGTGACCAAATTTGAATTGTGGTTCACTGGTACTAGACAGGATTATTGAAAGCGAGCTCAAAGATACAATCGGGGGGTGAGGGGACGAAGTCACGTCTTACTACGTTTGCATACGCAGGCACACTATCCGGCATGTCGGGAACCAAGAAAAGTGCCTCGGTCTTCCTTCTATATCGCTCTAGAATGTTTAGAGTGTTGTACATTCGTGGAAAGTTTGAAAACGCAAGCAGCGCCTTCGGTCATGGCGTGACAGCATGAATTGAAGCTTCTCAATCGAAACCGAAACTGAGTCGCCAACTAGTTCTCAGAGTGCATTGTGTGGCATATTGCCATAATGGGGCGCTTCGAGTTTTGGAAGAAGTCCCCCACAACTCAAAGACCACCCAATTTTTTACATTTTTTAACAAAACTAATATTACATGAACACTGTTAACATTTAGCGCACAAGATAGAGAGAAGGACAGGACAGAAAAGAGCGCTACTCACAACTCAAAACTGCTCATTTTTATTTGTTTGTAGTTTGTTAATAAAATTAATTTTTATATGCATAAATTTTTGGTAAAAGAATAAGAAGAGATATTGAAACGTTAATCAGAAATAATTTTAAAGCAGATTCCAAATTCCCCAAATTCACGTCGACTGATGCGACACTTTTCGGTCATTCTCCGTACTCGAAAATGCTAGTTTCAAAGATGGCGTTCGACATGTCGGTTCTGCCGGGAGCGAACTCCTTTGGGTTTCATCCAAACCATGCTGCAAATTCGAGCATGAGTGACTTTGGAGCTCGACAGCGAACACTGTAAGTAATATTTCGCCAAATACGACAGCGCCCTGTAATTGTTTGTTTGTGTAAGCTTAGAAAATAGTGGTGTGTTATCCGCCGAATGAGCTACAAGATGAGTTGACAAATTCTGACTTTCTTGCTTCGAATGACGCAGCAAATTACATACCACCGTCTTCCTTGAAATTACACCTGCGCTTTCATTTCAAAGTACCCGTATAATATTTACTGATTCGTGCTCCACGTAGAACTCCTACTAAAAGCCAGGACTTTTAATCAGTGCCTCGCTTCAGCCGTGCACAAAAATATCTGGCTGCTTGCATTGGCGTTATTTGCCTGGTTTCACCCGTCACACGTTTGAGTAGGCGTGTAGGTAACTCACCGCTGTAGAATTACTTGGTAGCAGGCCTACCCGCAGGGTGTTTCCAAGCCAATTTTACTGGGTGTTCCTTCATCGCAAAGGTAAACTACGCATAGCCTGAAGCTCACTCGCTGCCGAGGTGGAGCGCTAGCGGTCCGGACTAGTTGCCAAGGTTTCAGAGCTTGCAGTTATCTGGTTCAAAAGTTCTAAGAGATTTTCGAAAAATTTCAATGGCGAAACAGAGGCCGTCGAGGCTCACGAACTTATGAATGTCGTAGAAAACAACGAAACTTTTTTTTAATTAAGATAGCGGTTAGTTCTGAAACTTGGGCGTCTGGTCAGGACCACTAGCGCGACCTTTTGGGCGCAGGCTGAGCGTCCGGCAATTCGTAGTTTGCTTTTGCGGTGATAAAAACACTGTAAATGTTGTTTCCTTCGGAACACGATGTTTAATAGAAATATAAGTATCTTAAAGGCCGAATATGACGCAGCCCTCGCAGCACACATTGTTTTACCGATGTGTGGATATACCGGCGTGCCACAAATATCCTGTGGACGTGTATACACAGCTTACATGTGACGTCATTCGCGCCCATGTCACTACCTTGTGCGCCGCGAGCGTTCGGTTCGCCATGTCGGTTTCGCACCACAGAAGTTGTAGTTCAAAGAAACCAGTTAGCAGAAATGACGTCAGTATCCAGCATTGGCGACACTTGCAAGCTACGTACAGGACTTCTGTGTCGCCTGGTGGTACAATGCCCCGATGCTTCGCCTTTCGTCTTTCTCCAGGCATCCGATGGTGACGACAACGTCGGTGCTGGGCGTCAAGTTCGACGGAGGCGTGATGCTGGCGGCCGACCTTGCAGGCTATTATGGATCTTTGGCCAAGCTCAGGAACTGCCCCCGCCTGCTCAAGGTCAACGACCAGATCATTGTTGGTGCGGGTGGGGACTATGCCGACTACCAATTTCTCAAGGGGGTCATGGACCAGAAAGTGTGAGTTTGCTTCCCGGGCATTGTTTGGCGAACTGCGGTAGCCTCAGGGTACTGTAACGCTGGTGCAATAAATGGTAAGCCACCAAAGTGGCTCACTCTTTGGGTTTGTGCAATGGACCAGGCATATATTTTATACTTTATTTGACCTTACGCTCGAGTTGAAACGGTGCGCTGGCCGAGCGGTGACAATCTTGCATGAGCACCCTTGCCATGCCGTGCCATTGGGTGTGAGATTGGGAGGGATTGATGCACAGGGATATGTTGAAAGGGAGTATAAGCCATGCTTATACAGTTAATTCTTGACTTTGCTCCGCACGTTGAGCTAGTCCTACCTTGCACTCGTGCGTAAAAAATAACAATAATAAATGCTGCAACAGCACAGCTTGAGGTGCAGCCTCTTCCAACACTCCTCGTGCATGAGGGGGCAATGGTCAAATTCAGCCTTGCTCCCAACAGCTTAGCATACCGGTGCCAGCATTTCATTGAGCCAGATTTCTGTCCCGCCTTCCGCCTGTACAAGCCTGGTTCATGGGTTGAATGCAGCTTTAAACTCGAGCAAGTTGCAGCAATGCCATAACATTTGCAGCTCATTTGATTCTGCTCTTTCCATGAGGTTTGTGGCAATAAAAATAACGGCAAGTAAAGTCAGATGAGACATAGTTGCTTTTCAGAAAGTTATATTAAAAAGAGGGAAGCGACTGTGACTGTTGTGAAATATGGTGCAATAAAACAACCGCTCATTCACACCGGAAGCAGATCCACGTTCGCAAAGCGGTTGCGAACGCGGTTGTATAAAGATCGAGTACAATTGCACGCACACTCGATGAAATCAGGTGCGCGTACAATTGTACTGGATCATTATGCAACCTAAAATTGCAGACGACCTTAAGTGTCCATTTGCTCGATTTGTTACAGGATCAGTGAGGAGTGCTTGAATGACGGTTTCAAGCTTAAGCCGAAGTCCCTGTACTCCTGGCTTACTCGTGTCATGTACAACAGGTATGTCGCATTCTTTGCTTGCTACTGACCATGGAGCCTCGCTTGATAATGTTTGTTCTACTTAGAGCCGGGGCTTTTCGTTTTCCCCCAAGTTCAACTTCGCCTACAATTTACTACTGCAACCCTGCTTTGTTTGCAGGAGGGCTTGGTTAGACACAGTTTCTCCCGTGGAACTGTACAGTTGCAGTTTATTGAATGCGCAATGGCATAACGATAAACAAAAGTGACGGAAGCTAGGACGTCCTCATGAGTACCGTAGAATACCGCGCATCCACCCATTCCAGATTAAGTGCCCATTATCAAATTTGTAAGATCTGAGAAAATATGCACAGTACATTTATATGTAAAATTGATAACCGGACAAGCGCCCATCCCCTATTTTCTCGCGATTATTTCTAAATTTCGAGTGGGCACTTTCCCGGTATTTTACGGTATCAACAAGCAATATTTTGTAAGTTTATGTTCTGGGCCCTTAGAGACAGAGTTCAGTTTTAAAAAAGAAAGAACCAATGGGCAGAAAAGTGCATGCTGTTGGTGTTGTCACCGGGTGGCTGGCTTGACGAACTGGCATAGAAAGTGTGGAAACCAAAAATCAACAATACTGATACTTGGGTTGAAGTTTGTTTTGCTCGCAGTAGCAAGGCATTTAGCAGTCCACCTTTTTCGGAAATCAGTGGTCCGAGGTGTTTAGGCAGAGTGTGCTCGTGCGCACCTCAAGTGTTGCCAAGTATGTCATGGTCGCCTAAGAGTCAGTCCATGGAATTCCAACATGTGTTTTCATAATTAGGACTCCTCAATTTGCATGCTGTTTATGTCCTTCTTTAAAGAAAAGTATAAGCTCCGTTTTCTTGATAAATGTGCACACATAGCTTAGACTTCTGTTTTTACGCTAACTGTGTTGGCCTGAAATCCCTGTTGGAAGTGTGATGAAACAGTATGAAAAACCGTCATGAAATGCATGGCATGGATTTTGGGAGTGATATTGAGAAATTGACGAGGAATGCAGTTGACGAAATCAAACTATAGGGGGTAAAGTTTCATTATCATCATCATCACCACAAACAATTGCTGTGTGGCAAACAACTCAAATGCTAGACCTCACCGAGTGTACACCACATTGTTTCCGCGCTCGCTGCATATTTGTTTGTAGCAACATGGTGCGCACTTACTGCGTACCGCAGCACTCGAAACGTGCTTTTAAACTGGATATATGCTGCGCAGAGGACTGCAGGCGTGTATGCGACGGTGCGGACACTGTCCACTATTGGCTCTCATGCAACGGTGCACTATATGACATGATCGCAGTTGAGCACGTCCTCTCCTTCAACGAGACACCACTTTCTTTCGCCGATGTCATCCATGATTGTCAGAAGAGACAGGGTAACTGAAAAGTGAAGTAAATGTAAATAGCACATCGTGATGTTTGGATGAAAAGTAGCACAATGTCGTACTTGGTTGAAGAATAGTGCATACGTCATACTTTTATATTTTTTTTTTTTTTTTTTTGTGAATTGGTTAGGAAAACACGGGACGTTGCGCCGGCCACGCACGATCCATCGCGCACAGCCGACATTATGGGGCTGGACCAGCACTTCCATTCTTGACATATGTATGCTTGTTTTGCCTTCCAAGAGGACTTTGATGACATTGAATGCAAGAGGGGACTAAATTACTTCTATCTAAATGTGTTTAACATTATATAATAGTGTTACATATCTTTCACTAGCCTTGCATCATCATCTTCCATGGCAGCGAATGCACTAGTGACTGTGGCTGGAGGGTTTGTTTGCTACGCAGCATTAGTTCCTGAGGTTGCCGCTAGCAAGCGCCACTCCTCAATCTCCTCCCCAATAGACTATGGCACACGCGTGGGACTACCAACTTTAGTCCACACGAGGTTGGCAGCAGTGCACCAGACTGGACGTGCTATCTTGTGCAAAGCTCCGGCAAGGTTGTGGTTCATGCAGAGGAACTAAAGTTCCCTCCATGCATTGCAGCAGCAGTGGCGTAACCACACCGGCTGGCGAGATCAGTCCATTCCAAACGTCCCCCAACGTGAATCGATCCCAGGACGCCAAGATTCTGAGCCCGACGCTCTATCGCTCTGCCAAGGGGGAGGCCTAGAATGCGACGGTTTTTCTAGCATGCCTAGGGTAGGAAGCATGTGGGTTACTGCATGATCACTCCGTACTACCGCGTCGAGTGATTTAAAGTTGCGGAGATTTTTTTTTAAAGTTGCACGAGAGTGGGTAATAGACGTAAACCAGCGAGCGTTCTGTGTACACCGGCTTTATCCAAGTTATTGAAGAGTGAATCAAGCTTTCTCTTTTTTCTTGTTTGTTTAGAAGCAAATTTGAACTTCTCTTTTGCAAAGTCGCTCACAGATTTCTGGAGTTACTTGTTGCATGTTGTGGCGCTTCTTCGGTAATATTGTATTTCGAGTATTATCTTTTCTTGTCTTTATGTTGTTTACTCTTTTGGTATTATTTTTGTGTAAAAGCATTTTTTTTTTAATGTTTTGTCAATGTCATTATGTTGTTTCCCTGTCCCTACGCTTTTGCCTTCATTTTGCTGTCTCTCCCCTCTTACAGGCGGTCCAAGTTTGATCCCTTGTGGAACACCTACCTCGTTGGTGGACTTCAAGATGGGGTTCCGTAAGCATTGTTCCTCTGACTCTCAATTTCTGGCTTTAGGAACTGTTCTGCCTGCTCATTCTTTTTTTTTCTTTTTTTTTTTTTAATATTATTATTTGGCACATGGCAATGATGTAAACCCTCATATTCTCTGAAGTGTGAGAACACTGAAAAGTCGCAGCTTATTTTAATGTAATAGCGTTAAGGAGCACGTGTCGCAGAAAATTTGGCGTCGGTGGCGTGACGACAAAAAGCCGACGTCAATGGCTTGATGACAAAAGCCGGCATCGGTGGTATGCCACAAAAATCCTGATTGGTCGATAGGGTCGTGACGTTACAACCACATGACCTTGCGCGGTAACTTCAAACAATGCTTGCGTGAAATGTGACTTCATGCATGGAATGAAAGTGGTTAAAAAGCATGACTGTATTGCGAATTAAAGGTCGCGGCATGTCTCAAATGATTTCACTCTATAAAGTAATTCATTTGCCTTAAAAAAAAATTTGAAGAATTGTAGGCGGGATTTGAACCCACGACCCTTCGGTTTAGAGCCAGACACGCTACTGACTAGGCCACGCGAGGCACGCTTGCACGCCTTGTGTACGAGCGGGAAGTTATATTTATATCCGTTTCACTCTCGCATTCTACTTTTAAAGGCAAAGCTTAAAGGGATACTACAACGAAGTTTCGGCGCTCATTTTTTGGTCTATGTGTGTTCAAAGGAGCAGTATCACATCGAACATACCAATATCTTGTTAAAAAAAAAGTCTCGAAAAGGAATTTTAAAACAAATTGAACGATTAGCAGAGAGCACCTGGTGGAGGTCGCTAACGTCTCGCTTGTAATGCCCGTCTAGGAACCTTGACGGCTAGTGACGGAGATTGTCTCGCCTCCGGCCACGACGAGAGAAGAAGGGAAGGAGGAACTCCCCTCTTCCTGAGAATGCCTTTTGTGTGTCGCAGAAGTCACTATTGTACCCCTACAAAATTATAGAAGATTAATCCTTCACTCAAAATTCGTACAAAAGCAGCCGCTTCGGTGGCTGGAACGACTAGGCCATTCTCTCGACGTCAGCCTCGCCGTAGCTTTGCTCGTCCCGAGACGACCTACATCACGATTGTGTTGGATGTCACGTGGTCTCCGCTGCGCCCTCTCTGAGCACTTGCCGGAGTGGGTCGTTTATAATGAAAAATACAGCCACCAGGCTCAAAATACAAACGTGCGATTGTCATTTACGAATATTGTGGATCATATTCAACCTATTTTTGAACACGACAGGAATATTTCAAATTTCGTTGAAGTATCCCTTTAAGCGTCCCCTAAGTTTTTTTCGTCTTAACACCTTGTATTACATCTTGGGCTGTGATGAGTAAATTGCTCGGGAGTGCTTAATTTACTTGGGCACCCCTATGAAAAATTAAGTGTAGGGGAGGGGGGCTTAATTGGCAAAGTGTTTGGTTATGGGATACAAAAGCTGCCAAGAGCTTTCCAGCACCACGATGCCGAGAGGGCTGGAAGACGGGAGGCAGCCATAGAAGTCTGGCAGAGCAGTGGAACACCATTGTATCTCTCCTTTATTCCCCTTCCTACAAATGGCAATTCATGTCTGTAGACACAAAATTTCCGTATCATATGTGAAAGCTTTGGTAGAAACTGCTGTATCTTGTGTTGCATGAAATTTCACCATGTTGGCAATCTGTTGTTGTTTCTTTTTTTTATTATAAACACAATCTATATGTGTTACAAGAAAAAATAAAACTATCAGGTTGTCAGTCTGGGCTGGACAACTAACAATGGACCAAGAATTGAATTTTGGTGCTGGAAATACAAACAAAATACAGCACATTTCTAAAAAAAAAATTGTTTTTTCACTACAATGCTTAATTGCTGAGCACTCAGTCTTTGCCCAAATGGAGCACTAGCAGTCGGGACCAAGTGCCCAACTTTCAGAGCTTGATGTTACCTTATACTAAAGTTATATTAGTGATTTTCTGAAACTTTCGAGGGAAAAATTGTGCCCTTTTCCGGTAGACAATGCCATTCATCTCTATGTATTCATATGCTTCGTCAGCCGCCATTTTACAATTGGAAATTTCCTAAAATCACTTATAACTTTGTATGATAACGGGGCTCTGAAACTTTGGCTACTGTTCCAGATCGCTTGCGCTGCATTTGAGCAGAGACTCTGAATGTTTGGCGATGCATAGTGTATCTTCCAATGAAAAAAGACGCTTAATCTTTTTCCTGCGGCACCCTGTATATGTGGGACTCTCGTATCATATGCTAGTATCGTCTGGAAATATTTCTCGCCCTCAGTTTAGCATTTCAACTGGTAGTTGGGAACTACTTTGCACTGGTGAAAAATAGTTTTAACTAAACAATTCATACTATCACCCGTTTTACCGAATGGAATCTTTTAGGGAGTGCGACGGAGTTCATAGTCTGAGGTGTAGCCAAGACCTCGAGTCCCATTGGGCTCGCTGGGGTCACGGTTTGCAAACTTGTTTTTATCAGACGCGTTATTTATGATCAGGGACAACAAGATTTGGCTCTGTGACGCCGATTCTGGACAGTGTGTGGGGCTCCTCCAACTAATGCTCCTAGACAGCAGTTTTGAAGGGAAAGCAAAACCCAGCAATGGAAAGTGCAGTTATTTCCATATTCGTCAGTCTTCCGCCACGCTTACGGAGAAAGGGCAAGATTTTATTTGTTTAAACGCTCTTTGCCTTCGATTGGATGATCTGACTGTGCAGTCACCCTATAAAGCTTTTGGCAGCTCCAGCATTTTCTGTTTCAAACAGGGCATGCGAAATATTTTTCTAATGTCCAGCAGTTCTAATGTCATAGTCGGTGACAGAATGGGAATGGCAGGGGGGTGTCTTTCGAGCGTCCGGCCTCCAGCATACAGCTGCGCACGCACGCTCAAGGCGCACGACGTGCTGAAGCGTGGTCGAAGGTACAAAGCTTGACCTGGAGACGGTACAACCGAAGCTCCTCCCTGCCCCTCTCACCTTGTCAGTGACCACAGTTGGAGATGGGTGAGCGAGGAAAGAAAGCAAGGTTCAACCTCTCTTTTACCTTCATTCTTTACGCTAATTTTTCGTAGGGTGCTGGAAAAGCGAGACCTGCCTCGGCGTACGTTGCATGAAATAGTCTACCTACTTACGTGTTGCGCCAAGGGAACCAAGCTCATTCCGTTGCCTTTTTGTTCAGCTTTTTGGGTCAGGTGGACATGCTTGGCACTGCTTTCCAGTCCGACACCTTGGCCACTGGCTACGGTGCCTACATTGCACAGGTAAGGGAAAAATTGAGTTTTTTTTCACTTTCATTTGGATTTTGTTTGTTATCTGCGACGAGGATTTCGTTAATGTTTGATGCCGCCCGAACGGTCATGCACTTGCTGCTTGCTCAAAGTGCAGCTTGTTTTTTTGCTGCTAATGTCGTTCTGATTAGTGCTTTTTCTGGGCATTTATTAGGCCTCGACACCCAGAGAAAAAAAGTTGTATTTTTTAGGCGTGAAACAGTAGAATATGGTGTGGAGGACACATTGCTCAGTTAACGTGCTGCTCCGGATTAATTTAAAAGGGCCCTGCAATCATATTTAAGTATCTACCTTTTTTGCGCTTTCCACGTCTCTTGGGGTTCGGGCAAGTCAGCGGGCACGGAGAGAGTAACTAAATATAAGTGCGTCATATTTTAACCGGACGATGCGGAAACCTCCACCACCGACGAGGGCGACCCGCGGTACTCAAAGCGCGCAAAATGTGACATGTTTGGTCCTGGGCTTACTACTGGTCAAAGCCGCTAAAAGCTTCTTTTTAGTCGAAATATAAAGTATAAGTGGTGCGAATCGTTTCAATTATTTATAAAAGTAGTTTTTGTTCAGTATTTTAGATCAGAAAAGAAGCGAATGCAGTTTATAAAGTACGGAAACAAGAAATGACCCGTCGCCATACCTGCCACCAAGCGGTGGAAAAGGCGGCGCACACTAGAAAGGAGTACTGGGATCAGGCGCCGACAAGGAAATGTCCTGGATATACGCGGTGGCGCTGCGGTCATATTAACGGGAGGATCCAACCGGCTCCAAGCGTTCCGAAGGCCTTTGCCGAGAAGCTTTGTCTTGCGGTTCGGCCGTTCCGCGGTATGGCAGCGCGAAGTGGCTCCCATTCTGAACTGATCTTTAACCCGCGTTTGCTGTCGTTTGTGGCCAATGAAGTGTCATGCCGAATTAGTGCTTAATCGCGCAGCAAATGCAATGAGAGCCGCTCTGACTGCCAGCTGCATACAGCCTATCCAGAATATGCTTTAGTGGCGCCCCCTCGCGCCGTCGACACGGATTGCGGCAGCCGTGAGCGCTCGCTGAGCTCACTACCCCTCCTCTAGTTCACGGCCACTCAAGCAACCAAGGACGTCATGAGGGAAGTTATTTTTTGCTTGTTTTTGTAATTTTAATTTGCCTATAACTTTTAAAATAAAACTAATTTTAAGAAAAGAAAAGTTTCACTAAGTTGCTACGTTCAGTGCGCTCATGTTCGGTGCAAATTAAAAACCAGTAAAAAAGTCATTGCAGGGCCCCTGTAAGTTTTCAGAAACAGAATTCAAGTCCGACCTATTGTCCGTCGCAGCATGATATCTGCAGAACCTCCACGTCCAGCAAATGCTCATTGCTTTCTGTCTTGCTTTGACTGCAATGTGCGTATGCTGAAGTGTTGTCGAAGCTATCTCGTGTTTCAAAAGTCTAGTGTCCCAGACTGAAAGTTGTGAGGGTCACTTTGCTCCCTGCAGCTGCACATGTGCCTTTTTGTTTTCTTCACTTCTTTACAGGCCATTTTAGCAGACAGTGCTTCAGACATCATTTGTAATGTTTTTCTAAAAGAAAAGAAAGAAAAGCTTGGCACACCAGTAGTTTAGCCCCATGTTGCGGTACAAAAAATCTTTGTCCAGGTTGCGAGCTGAGAATGTATTTTTTTGTCTAAGGCTCGTCAAAATATTAAGCACTAGAGAAAATCGGCCGTCTGTGTGAAGTCAGAATTTCAAACCCTTTTTGCTCATGTTCCGCCCATTGAAAAGCATGACAAAAGAACCCAAGCATGCAGCTGATCTCCCTACCCCGCCGTATCCTTCCATGTAATAAGGTCTGTCTGCTTTGTTGGTCACCGTAGCAATGCAGCGTCTTCTTTATGGACGAACACAGCGTCTGAATCCATCTACGGCAAACGCCATCTTCCGAATGCCGTCTTAAAGTGAACTCGGCAACACTTGGCAAAGCCAGACGCGTCATCGAGGAGGTCAACCCCAAGGGCGGGAGGCAGTCACGTGGTAAAACCTTAGCGTTTCCAACTAGGCTTGGTGCACGCCAGGGTCAGAGCTTATAAGCAGTTTTCCCCAAAGGAAGCGTGGGGTGGACCTACCGTCGGGCCAGCATTGCTGTGTTGTTAACAGATGACATTCGGAAGATGGCGTTACTGTAGCTGGCTTCAGGTGCTGCATTTGCACATGCGTCTATTGACATTCAGTGACCAGAGCAGACGGACTTTGTTCTGTGGTAGAAGGGCATGTGGCGAAATCAAGTGGATACTTAAGCTTTTTCGCAAAAACTAAATTAATTTTTTTGTATTATATTTTGCTCTTGACGTTTTTGGTTTTAAAAACTAATTATGCACCCTGACACTAAATTTTATAACCATACGCCAGATAGTTACGTCGATATAAAATATTTTCAACACATTATGAGGCAGTAACAAAGCAAAGGAGTTCATTGTTTGAATGGATTTTTCTCAGTTCTGCTTTCTGCTGCAAATTTCATACGAAAGTATTCTGATAACACCATCAAGTTTTTTCTGAACTGAAATTTACTGGGGAATCGGGCTATCTACTTTATTTTATTTTAAGTTGAAGTCCTTATTGAAAAAAAATGTTTTCAAAAATTGACATAGGACAGATGTGCATCTCATATTTTGAGGTAATAGCTCTTCCATGTCCCCCATTTTATATTCTAGCAGTCAAAATGGTGCTTAATAGCTTCATTTGCATATCATAGACTTCTTAACGAAGAGTGACACATCTTCTTATGCAGGTATGCAAAGTTGTCCTAGAGAGCTGAACGTTTGCTCAGTACACCTACATCTGACGTTAAATCTCCCCTTCAGATTTCATTCCTATCACTCGAGTAGTTCAGAAGTTAAATCTCTAGCCAGTGTCTCCCCTTAATGGTTCGAACATTAACAAAGAGAGTTCAAAATAAGGACTTACAACTCAGATGGCATAACTTCTTCAGCACCTAATAGTTTGGCGAGCGTTTTATGAAAAGCATGTTTTTTTTAAACATCCAACAGCTGTTTTTTTTTGGTCAAGAACTTAAAGTGTTTGACTCCCAAAAACCTGTTTCTTCTTCCTTTGCCTTTCTGTACTAAACGCGAGTTTTGCTAACTGCCCTCGCCTACTCCAGCAGTAATGCCTCGTAAGTGTTGCGCAAAGAACTGCTTCGTTTTTGAACCAAAAGTAGCGCTATGTGTCGTGCATATTTACGAAGGATGGAGAGGAGTGCTACAGGTGCACGCTTTGTATCTGTCTGTGCCTCGTATACTCGGCAATTCGCATTTATTACACGGGACATGTCTCCAGGCAGGAGACTGGGCGATGGCTTGGCGATCTTTCCGTTGGGATCCCCACGGCGACACTGCTATTACATAATTCAAAAGACAGTTCTGCCAACACTGTCTGAGGCATGTTTCTTTCTTGTATGATGGTCACATTGGTCGTACGAAAGCTGTGTGCAGACATGTGCAATGCGTGCACATATGTGTGGAACAAATGTGCTTCGAAAATGTGCAAATGTGCACTTGAGGTGTGTCCGCAGATACTTCTGTAATCGTGTCTGCAGCGAATAATGTGTTCTTTGTACGATGTAGGAAAAAGTGTGACTGCAGCTTTATGGTTCATACTCGTGACGGCACGACTAGGATTATCAGATGTCAACGACAAGCTTGATAATATGTGTAACAAGCACAGCGGAAGCTTGAAGCTGTTGTGTTCATTAAACCAGCACCATCAAGGTTGGCAGTCTGCGTTACTCTTATTCCCGTCGATAAAAGCAGAATACGACTACCGTAAAGTTCCGAGAGAACGACCGCCCCCGAGAGATTACCCATTGTGTTTTTCTGGCTAAATATCTGCAACAAAAGTTCGAAACATCGCCCACCCCCCCGATTCCCGTGGGTCATCATGCGGTGTCCGACAGGAAGCAAATCTACTGCGTCCGCAGTCTGCGGTATCCGCTCCCGTGACATAAAGTTAGTAGCGGACTTCCGCGTTTTTGTTACCAATCTGCGCGCACAATCTCAGTTCCATGCGAGTCGGTCCCACGTGTATATTGCATCGTTAAATACAATTCTGCTGCTTTCACAATCTGCGGCATTAGTTCCCATAACATATGAGTTTGTGACTGATTCCCGCGTTTTTGTACGCGATCTGTGTGCGATATCAGTTCCCGTGGCAGGCAAGTTTGTAGCGGGTTTCCGTATGTTTATTACACCATAACACTTGAATCTCCTGCGTCCGCGATTTGCGGTATTCATCCCCGTGAGGTGAGAGTTCTTGACGGGTTTCCACGGGTCCTTCGCACTGTGAAATCTGCTGTGTCCGCAACCTGCGGTATCCTTTCCCGTGACACAGGAGTTCGTAGCAAATTCCTGCATAATGTTTATCGCATCGTGAAACGCGAATTTGCGGTGTCCGCGATTTGCGGTATCAGTTCCCGCGTCACGTGGTTTGTAGCCGGTGCCAGGGCGTTTGCCATTAATTTTTGATAAAGTCTTGCTGTGGCATCCCAAAGATATATCCCACCCCATGTTTTTCACCATTCATCCCTTCATTTTGGGTGGGCATTCTTTCGGAACTTTAGGGTAAAGGACTGCCAGCCTGCCGAAACATTGTTGTGTTGATTTGGCCAGGCGTGGTTGCTCTCTTCTAAGAATAATTGCATCCTCTCCCCTAGGAGTAATAACAAAATAACAAGTTTCCAACTGCCCCCCCCCCCCCTGAATAAAGTTCTGCCGACGCCTATGGCACTGGATCTTATGTTGCTCATGCTTTATAACACTTGCAACCCGGTAGTCGTCGCCCGGCCATCCAGCATTGCCATGTTGGAAACAACGGTCTCCCGAAGTTTCTTTAGTGACACAAACCACGTTGCTATCTAACCCATAGTGTGCACACCATGCAACCATCATACGTGCTCTATGAACAGTGGCTTCGTCAAATACAACCAAAGTGATTTTCTTTTCTTTTTTTTTT